GCTTTAGGAATTTCCTCTATATAGTTTTTCACTGGTTCCAAGAATAATAATACAAATGTTCTAGAAATAAGCTCAAAACTGTCTCTCCTGCGTGAATGGAATAACTGATCAAAGCTCTACATTCCCCTTAATGCTAGAGCACATTGGTCTGCTATTAAGAAAATATTACTCAATACCACATGCATGAAGTCTAGACTCCTCTAAAATTATAAATTGCTTTCCTAGAGTGCAGACAGAAACTCTGGTGCAATTTTACTCTTTTTAAAATGCAAAGTAATGTCTTAAAGGAGCTTATAATAATTCTCTCTTTAAAAATCACACCTCATTATACCAATTACAAAAATTTGAGACCTTATGTGGGCCATTTTATTCAAAACACCTGCTATTCTCTTTTTATTAACACTTATTTTTCCACCCTTAAAATGTGGCAATAAAATTAAGATATTAACCTTAAGTAAATTCATATGCTTCAAGGCAATGGTTTTTCCACTTATATCAACTATATTTTCAGTTTCATACTTCTGTACTGTTGCCAGAGCTATAGGGATAACTTGGAAAACATTCAGGGAAAAAAAAAAAATCAGAATAATATTTTAAAAGGAATGGAGAAAAGAAAATCAAATTGCAATCTGTTTACTAGCAACGTAAGAGGCTCCTTTCTGGTTTCTGTGATCCCTCAAAAAGGAAGAGAACTTTATTCCTGTCCCTAAGAAACAGACTATCAATTTAGAAAATCTCTATAGCTACTATTCATTATCTTTATTTAAAAAGCAAATTTTCATATATATTGAAAGAAATTTACAAACCTCTGAATGTTCATCTCTCTCATCTATAAGTCTTTTTAGATGCAATGCCATATTTTTTAAGAGTGGTTCTAGGTCCTCTTGAGACATATCAGTCACTTCCATCCACTGTAGATCGAATACATTTTCCTGATTATGTGTTACCTTTAGGCAAGCAAACAAAATAAACAGACAAAAAGATTTAATGCTTTATTTCAGTATAATAAAACCATGAAATCCAAATACAACAAACTAAAAGACATTTACAATTAATGATGAAAAGACTACTAACAAATATTTTTAATTAAATATATTTTTAAATGAATTAATATTTTATTTCCAGTCAAAAAAAGAGGAGATATTAAATTCAAGGCATGCCAGACAAATGCTTTAACAAAATTAATTGACCTTTTCCTTAGATAAGAATTATCATTTTCAAAATATTTTATTTCTTCTTATGGAACCTTTATGAAACCTATAAAAGAAAAGCTCTGTATCTAACAATCCACAGAAAATACAGATCAAATTTATTGTACCTGAATTCAAAAGCAAGAGGAGAAAAAAAAAACTTCCATTATAAAGATTTTTTACAGAATAGGAAATTTAAATAAGTCAAATACTGATTTTTTGCTTTCCATTTCTCTTTGTCATTCTTGTATTTCGCGCTTTCACAATAAACAGCAAAAATGAAACTTCCAAGAAAGGTAGAAAATTTATTAACTTGCAATATTTACCATTTACTCAAAATGAAATGCATACCACAAAGCTAGCATAAACAAACCAGGGCTTCGAACCAGTGAACCAGTTCAGCCTGGTTCACTTATGGCCAATGGAGCAACACTAGAACAGATTCAAATTTTTAAAATCCGAATGAACTGTAACACTAACCAGAACAGGAAAATATACAGGTTGAAGCCCTGCTAGAAACTTCATCTCTCTCTCAGAAAACAAGAGCAGCACGTAAGCTGCATAGCAACCAAATCCCTTCACTGGCTTGAGTCTAAAACAGTCGTGCCCAGCTCAAAGATGGTGGCCAACTGCGCCACTTTGAATGTGTGTCCTTCTCCACAGTCCTGGCAATAATCCAGCATCACGCATCAGGTTCCTAAAAGGGTTCACTACACCTCTTCACCTCTCCCAAGTCTCCCATTCCAGAGCTTTGACACATAATTTTCCCTATTCTAGTTGGTGGTCTGAATCACTCAAATTTTAAAAATTCAGGTTTGTTTCAGTTTTGCTTTGTCAGCCATGACAAAACCAGTTCAAAACCCTGAAACAAACATACATATAAAGGAAGAGTCTACCAATAAAACTCTATCTGGTAGAACACTAATATGTTTTCTTTTGATAGCAATGTAACTGACAAGAAAGCTGGACTCTGAAAATGGTAACTAAGGGCAAAGATGACCTAGGGGAACAAAAAGTCTTCTAAACAGAAAAATGTAAACACTACAAATTTTCACCATTTAAAATCTCTCTCCTTTTTCTTAGTCTTCTTTTTAAGTAATATGTAAAATTTAACATTCTTATTCTAATTCTAAAAAGTCTTATTCAGTATACCAAGACTAAAAGCCCAAGGATAGATGGAGAAATAGCAGCTTTTAAAACCAATCTTAGCAAACATATTAACTTAAATGATTTGGCACCATAGATTTAAGTTTTTATATGACTATTATAAATCATTAATGTATTTATAGTTCAACTAATATCATCAAAAAAATTATGCTATGTTCATTCATTCAGAGAAAAACAATCACTGGAATGACATAATACTAAGGGTCATCATCTTACCACACTATAGTTTTGAATTACAGGCAGTGTTCCACTTTCTGCTGCTTCCATTTACTATATTATTCATTTTGTGCTAATACATTTATTCCTCAAATAACACTTTCTGCCTATGTCCCTATGGATAAAGGCAACAGTACATTTGTAGTTAGTACTGTGTCATATATAAGATGATTCATTTACAAAACTCTCTCTAAAGAAAAGGCAATTTGTCAAAAGCAGGCTTATTTATTTTTAATCTTGCTTTGTTCTTGCTTATCCTATGACTTTAAATATTTTGGAAGATACACAAAGACATCACAAGCTTAATAAGAAGTATATAAAAACTGTAATACCTCTTGAATATGTGCGGCAACTGCTGCTTTTGTATCAAAATCTAAACCTTGAATTCTTTCAATAAATTCTTCTTTTTTCTGACACTAAAATAAATGAATAAAATGATCATTCATACTTTATAGGGTTTAGTCCTTAAAATATTGTAAATAACTAAAAATTCATCAGTCTAAAAATCCTGGCTATGTTTTGAACAGTACAGTAAGGATTTAGTTTGGTTTTGCATTTAAATAATCTCTCTATATACTTACCTAATAAAGAGATAACAATTTAGAAATATTTATTTAAAAAACCAAAGCACTGAAAATCTACACTATTTTATGCTGAGAAGTTCTAAAGTGAAAAACCATTACACAACCCATCTGAGGTCAGTATAATATTATTATATTAACTTTACAAACAGAGAAGTAAAGAATCAAGAACTTGTTTCAAGGAGGATAAGTTACTTGCCAAAAAACACAGTGAGTCAGTGGCAGAACTCGGACTACAGCCAAAACGCTCAGTCAGCCCCCCCGGCTATCACCAAACAACACAGCCTTTCTTCTTGGAAAAAAAGAAATTTAGGCAATTTTTACTTTGACCTTACGATTCATCCTCACATCTTCAGCCTACCAATCTTAATAAAAGAAACCGACTGCTGTGGCCCAGTTGAACATTTATAAGGCAATATAATAAATACTTGATTTGTTTCTGAAATATGAAGCTATGAGGGATAAAACTGAAGAAGTACATACAAGTACACATGTACTTACTGCAGAATAAAGATGACAATTCCTTCTTGTTTAACATTTAAGCTTTACAAGAATTAAAAACAAAATGCAAATCTAATTATTTCTGCAGTCAGTACTAACAGTTTACCATGCATCTTAATGTCTGCCTCTATCTACATGTCTGAAATTATACTGCTAGTATAACTGTGTTCTTGCAGCTACCAAATGAGAACTGCATATAAAATAGACAGCACTGCCTTGCATTGCTTAGTTGCATCTCATGGGCCAATTACTGAACCACAAGTGAAGACAATATACTCACAAAAAGAAAAACTGGCTCTTTGATCATTATTTTATAATCTACACGCTTATTGTATCAAATTGCAACACTATATTTTTACTGTTATGAAATTCAACTAATTTAACATATTTCCACCAGCAAGAAAGGTCTGTATCTTGTAAAAACAAAACTATTATTAGGATGATATAATAATGTTTAAAACTAAGTTACTAAGAATGTATCATTCTTGTGACTAGGAAGTCAGCAGTTTTTGGGAAATGGGATGAAAATTAGTGTATTTAATATTTGACAGGTCTAGCAAAAATTAAGAGTATTTTCTAAGTATGCATTTGTAGCATAATAAACTTTTCAGGTATGGTAACCCCACATTCATAATCTTAATTATGCTGAAAGTGTTCACCTACATACACTTTCCCAGCCAATCTGAATATAAAATGGTAGGTTCTTACCGACTACAACTCACTGAATATCCCCCAATTATGCTTCCATATTTTTTCTGCTTTTAGTTAGAGCTAAACAGATACATTTTCCTTTCTCAAGCCCAAGACCCACTGTTCCTTTACTTATATATACTATCTTTATGGGTTTACCCTTTAGCAAAGTCTCAACTTCAATGAGAATTCATCCTTTACCCTTAAAATACCCCCAATTTATACTAAATCTCACCTTTATTTGAAATCTGAAAGTTTGGAATATTCTGGAAATATTTTTAAGTTAGGCTTTCTTGAAGAATGTAGAATGAATTTCACAGAATATTAAAAGATAAAAGAGCAAGACTACTAAGATAGGAAAGACACAGAGAAAAGACTAAAACTTTGAAGTTGAGTAATCAAATCAAATACTCTAAATCTTCACTGGCCAATACAGTAATCACTAGTTTCAGATGGCTACTGAGTACCTGAAATGTAGCTAGTGCAACTGACAAACTGAAATTTTAATTTTATTTAACCATTATTAATCTAAATTAGGAGCCCTATTAATGTAGTTATTAAAACTCAGTGGCTAATCAAAAGGTTGGTGGTTCAAATCTACCTGGTGTTCTGTGGGAGAAAGATGTGGCCATCTCCTTCCATAAAGATTACAGCCTAGGGTACCTTATGGAGCAATTCTACTCTAGGGTCACTATGAGTAGGAAAGGACTCGAGAGCAACAGGTTTAATCTAAATTTAAATAGCACATCTAGCCAGTGGTTACTGTACTGAACAGCACTGGAAAAGTCTGGTGTCAAAAAAGGATGTATCAGTAATTTTTGTTCCAGCTATAAAGACTCTTGTAAAGACAAAATAATCTTAAGAAAATTGATCTTTCCACTTAAAATTAAGCTTTTATCTTCGTATCAAGTTCTTAAAGTGTTTTGGGCACTAAGATTATTTCTAATTCTATTTATAGCAAATTATTCCTAAATAAGCAGTTACCATCACAAGAACAGAGTATGGAGGCTGAGATGTAAGAGAAAGCCAAATGATTGTTTATTTGGTGATGGTGGTGGCAGGCAAGAGGCAGAACTGTATTAACCCTAAAGTTTTATACTTTTATACTTTCCACCAGAGAGATTAAATTCTTAATATTCTTCAAATTCCTCATATTTTCACTTTGCATTTTTAATGCTCTCACTTTAAAGGAAAAAAAAAGATACACTGTTGTGGAAAAATTACACTAAAATACAGAGGGAACCCAAAACAAGCTATTTAAATAATAAAAAAAAGAAACAAGAAACACATTATAGTGTTTTCAGTAAGAATAACATCATTGTCTCAACAGATCACAGTTCTACCAAAGTAAAACCAAAATGAGCCACAAAGAAGAAATAAAAATAGAAAACATCCCTCTTCAAATTGAGCTTACATATTCTACTCTTATGCATTCTCAGAAAAGGAGCCTGAAGTTTGGGTATTGTTTTATTTGCCAAAAAAATAATATGATAAAACTTTTAAAACGCTTTAAAGAACAATAGATTGTAGCCCTCAAAGTGACCAAGTTTTTCAGAATTGATTATTAATGCTGGAATTGCTTTTGAGGGCACACATAAAATTTTAATTTCAACCACACTTAACACACAGTTACTTTCAACACTACCCAACCTGACCAATCTCCAAAATAAGTAATAATCATGAAAAAGAATATAAAGCCTAAGTTCTGCTGAAAAGGAGCAAACTGGTCTTAGAAAAAAACAAACTTCCAAACAACAAACCATGCAAAAACATTTCCTTCTGTTTGGAATGATTTAGCTTTTGAATGCCTCAACTGTATCAGAGCTAGGATGAAGCTAAAAACTCTTAACTGAAGTTCAGAGAGACGTGTGTTATCCACTGAAAAAGATTCTGGAAGAACTTTTTAATTGATTAATAAAGAAAATACTCAATCCCTGGCCTTGAATATAACTTAAAAGTTTTCTTCATATTCAAAGTCAGTTCTATGGCTTATATTTACGTATAATCAAGGATAGAAAGTTTTAGTTATAATTTATTCTGATAGGTAAGATGTTTGTTGTTGCTGTTAGGTGCCGCTGAATTGGCTCCAACTCAGAGACCCTATGTACAACAGAATGAAACACTGCCAGGTCTTGTGCCATCCTCACAATCCTTGTGATGCTTGAGTCCATCACTGCAGCCGCTTTGTTAATCCATCTTGTTGAGGCTCTTGCCCTTTTTCACTGACCCTCCACTTTACCAAGCATGACATCCTTCTCCAGGGAATGGTCCCTTCTGACAACATGACCAAAGTAGGTGAGATGAAGTCTGGCCATTC